CCAAAAACAATCTTCCCCTACAAGCTCCGCTAGCGACCCCAACTGGGCAATCACATGCACTGGGATCAACAATCAAACTCACAGATTTAAGAGGAAGTGTGTAAACAAGAGCCTGGGATGCTGTGGGAACTCGCAGGGCTCCACCTTCCAGAACTCCGCGGAGTCTCAGAGCTGGTTTTTTAATTGTTACCCTGCTCTGTCGAAACTAGCATTTTTAGATAATCCCTAATCATGAGCCTTCATTTTAATAATCAATAACAACATTTTAATCAACTGGATCATAGTGGAGATTTTCTTTGAGAAGGGATTACTGCAAGTCTATAGTGAGGAGAATTCTTTTCTGCAATAGAACCAATCATTACTTCCAGGAGAGGATAGCTAAGATCAGCTTCACCTTAGAATGTGGTACCCCAAAGAGGAACTTTCTATGCCTGTGGGAGCTGATGAGAAGTCCATGTGGCGAAACCATGTGAAGTCATCACTAAATCATTTCATTCCGTTATTTACCCACTCATGCACTCATATATTCAATAAACATAAAGTGAGCACTTTCAAAGTGCTAAGTTCCTAAGAACTGGTCTTTCTTACTCTTGAACTTAGCACCTCACAATTTAGTAGTTGATGTTGCCTTATGAATTAGTTGTCCATATCTGTGTGGGTTTATGGACTAATGCAATGTAATGTGAAATATGCTACAGTAGAAGGAGTGATAAAGTCAGTTGAGCACAAATGTGGTTCACCAAAGAAGGGCTTTCTGTCCTTTGATAGCCATAGATTTTGGGCTCCTAACTCTAAAAGAATACTGTCCGCACAGGTTTAGATGCAACTGTCAGAAAAATCACTAAAATTTTCTGACTTTGTATGCTCTCATTAGATGCTTTGCTACTATGTCCCTCCTATTACCCCTGTATCAAGAGCAGTTTATGAATCTAGCTAAAGGATATATTTTACTGCCTAATGTCCCAAACACATATCTCAAATCACTAAAATCACTTTCTGCAAGAGGACAAACATTTTCCCCCAATGAGTTTATACAAATAGAAAATAGCTGTTTGGAGGAGAATTTTGATAAATGTCTAAGTAGAATATATTATGTATAAGGAAGAAGGTAAATATTTACCTGTGAGATTAACAACATGAGTTGTAGATTGTATTTATTTTTTAAAATTTTATTTATAAAAGGGGACTTAATATATGGTGACAGAAGAAGATTTGACTTTGGTGGTGGCCACACAGATCTTATATCATAGAAATCTACACCTGAAAACTATATGATCCTATTAACCAACGTCACCCCATAAATTTAATACAAGAATCAAGAAAACAGAAGGGAAATATTTAAAAACAAACAAAAAATTGTCAATGAATCATACTATTGAAGGCAAGATTAATGGTTGGATGTAAGGCAGCAGTTCAGTTTAATGCATTTTGTCCCCTATGTTTATGATCCTTGTTTAAAAGAAAGCATTTAATGTATATGCATGTTTCAATTAAGACATTTTAATTAAATTATTCCTTTACAAGCAATGCAATTTTATATAAAAATAAAATGTAAGAACTATAAACAAGTCAGAGAAAAGCTTTAATCTGGTAATAAATTTGGTATTGGTAGTTTTTCTTAAATTCTTAATTCAATATTTTAACAATTTATGAATTCCTCCCCACCATATAAGTAGGATTTTTTTCTCACTCTATATCTTTTGTCTTTAAAAATTACCATGTGCTATTTTACCAGCTTATAATTTTGATGGTTTATTAATAAATTATACTATTTTGCTGAACAAATTTATTCAGCACAGAAATTATTAGAAATAAATATTTTAAGTTAGTAGAGTATTTACTATAAAACAACTGTTTCACTAATTTTAAATTATTTAAAAATTTAAAATAAAATACTTTAAAAATAAATCAAAATTGAAATGCATGACAATTATTTTATAATTCAGCTAAAGTGAATAGAATATATAATTATTAAGTAGTTAGAATGACTATAACACAAATAAATAAATATTGATTGTTTAGAATGATTATTATATCTCATATTTGGGTTTAATCCTAATATTGGTTGGAAATCTATAATTTATATAATAATTTCATTCATTTAGCAAAATATTTATTGTACTTTGTGATATTCTGTCTAGGTGGTGAGGATACAACAGTGAATAAAATAAAGTCACTGCTCTTATGGAGCTTTCATTCTAGTAGTGGTGAGATGAAAACCACAAATACACAAATAAATAGATATGTCAGATATAATGAATGCTATGAGGAAAAAGAGAAGGCCAGGCAATAGAGAATGATGATGGTGAATGTGCAAAAGGAATCAGGAAAGCTATCTCTGATTAGATTACATCTGACCAAATATTTGAGGCAAAAGTCATGAGAAATATATGGGGAAAGATGATTCTGTGCCATATGAACAGCAAGTAAAGAGTCTTAGGCAAAAGGATGTGTTTGAGGAATAACACAAAGGTCAGTGTAGATGCAGTGGAGTGAGACAGAAAGAGAGCATGTAGAAAATGAGGTTAGAAATATGATCTGGAATAACATCATGTAGGGTTGGAGAATATAGTGAGGACTTGGATTTTTTTTTTTTTAATATGGAACACTTCACGAATTTGCGTGTCATCCTTTGCGCAAGGGCCATGCTAATCTTCTCTGTATCGTTCCAATTTTAGTATATGTGCTGCCGAAGTGAACACAAGGACTTGGATTTTATGCTAAGTAGAAGATATTGGATGATTTTGAGACATGACATAATCTAATTTGCATTTTTAAAGATAATCTTGATTAGGTCCTCATGGCTTTGTGGAAACTAGATAGTAGAGAATAAGGGTAGAATAGGACATGGAGCCAGGAGACCATTGCAATAACCTAGAAGAGAGAAGATAGTAGTTTTGGCTGGAGTATTGATCGTGTGAGTGGTGAGAAGTGATCTGATTCTGGGTATATTTTTAAGGTCAAGCCTTCAAGGTACATATAAACTTTCAAATATTTAGCATAAAGAGAGGGTTAAAGGCCATGAAATTGAGTATATCAACTGGTGGTTCTAAACTCTCTCATCCATTGCCCAAATATTTATAATGTTCTTTTACTGTCCTATAATGAAATGCATCAATAATGAAAACCACCTTCACATATCCCTAATAGAAACCAATAGAATGCTTCAATTATTATATACATGAAGGAAAGCAATTTATAAGAATATATATTTCAATTTGTAAATGTTCAATACAAGTATAATACTTGTCAAATCTTGCTCCTATACATAGAATAATGAATAATGTGGAAGCTATAAATGAAGACTTATGCTGAGTATTGTACTGGCAGCTCAAATACCATAACTGCATAAATGGGGTTGCCATCAGTAATAGTAATTTAATCCTTAAATTATTTTGATGGGTTATTAATAAATTAATTGCTCCTATACATAGAATAATGAATAATATGTAATTATATATGTGTTTTCCGATGGTCTTAGGCGACCCCTGTGAAAGGGTCGTTCGACCCTCAAAGGGGTCGCGACCCACAGGTTGGCGACCCACAGGTTGGGAACTGCTGCCCTACAAGAATATCCAGTATGGTTATTTAGAAGGTTTGCAGGATATTGGATTTTTTATTATTTATTTTGCACAATTATCCTTCATATTACAATGTCAGCATACTTCCTACTCCTTGTGACAACTAAAAGTACCCCCTCCACCCCACATTTTCCAAATGCCCTAGAGTGGAGCATAGAGTTCCCATTTAGAAATACTTGCGCGGCTAAAGGAAAAAGATCAGGAAGCTGAGCTCTGGGGCTTATAGAGATTGAGAAGAAGAGGAGGATCTAGCAAGGAGACTGAGAAGAAATCATAAGAAGGCAGAAGAACCAAGGTTATTAAGAACATCTT